TAATTTCCACGTATGGCGGATTTCTTCAATCTTCACTAACAGAAATTTGGTGAAAACAGAATAAATGCAGTGAACATTTAGGAATTATAGAAGCTTGTCATGTTTTAAGAATGAAACCAAATCATTAACTCAAGTTATCAGAAAGTGATAATGAAGATGAATATTAAAGACACGATATAAGCGTAGTTTGCCATGAATTTAAGAAAATAAAAACCAAATTATGAACTCAAGCTATGAAAAAGTGATATTGAACAAAGAAGAAATATATTGAACATTTCAAAAATATAGCAGCCAAATTTTAAAGAAATAAAATAAATAAAAAACTCGATATATTATAAAGTGATAATAAATAAAGAGAAAACACAATGAACATTAAGAAAATATGGCAACTTAACATAGTTTTAAGAGTACAAATGTCAAATCATGAACTCAGACTACAAGAAAACGATATGGAACAAAAAAAATAACACAACAATGATTTTGGAACAATGGTAGCACTTACCAAAATTTTAAGCAAATAAAACCAAATCATGAACTCATACTACAAGAAAGTGATCATACTCTAAATAAATTTGTTAGATTTTTTTCTTACTATATAAATTTTCTTAACAAACACATTAAATAAAATCATTGCCATTTTTTATCAACAAGAAACATATTTCGTCAAATCTTTTTTGACGAAGTCTGGTGCCTACAAAATTCATCCATAAAAACATTGGATTCACCACATTCTACCATCACCATTAAAATTGCCATCATAGAATGTTGGAAAGTATCAGGGGCATTGCATAAATCAAAAGGCATGCATCTACACACAAAAGTAACGTATGAACATGTTATCGTAGTTTTATCTTGGTCATCGGGGGCTATATCAATTTTATTATAACTCGAATACTCATCTACAAATCAATAAAATTCTTGACAAGCTAACCTATCAAGTATTTAATCAATAAAGCGCAAGGGGGAGTGGTCTTTTTTATTGTCTTTGTTCAATTTTCTATAGTCCATGCAAACTCGCCAACTTTACTATCCCAAAAGGGATTAATTCATTTTTTTTTTTATTAATTTTAGTCACCCCCGCTTTCTACACACATTTTAGCGGACTAACCCATGCACTATCAGAGATAAGAAATATAATGTTTGCATCACGCCACTTGATGATCTCCTTCTTCAATATTTCCTTCATGACGGGATTCAATCGTCTCTGCTGCTCAACTGAAGATTTGTGCCCTTCCTTCAAGATGATCTTGTGCATCAATTTTTTTTGACTTATGCCTTAGATGTCGGCAATAGCCCATCCGATGGCTAACTTGTTCTCTCTCAAGACATCCAAAAGTCGTTCTTCCTACAAAAGTGTTAAGAAAGTAGAAATAATCACATGTAAGGTATCATAAGCTCCAAGGCAGACACATTTCAAATGAGAAGGTAAAACTTTGAATTATAGTTTTAGAGGTTCGATCACCAAGGGTTTAAAGGTGCTAGAGAGTGGGAGTTGAGTGTCAAAATGGAGATTCGGCAATGCCTTTGACGATTCTAAACTTTCAAAATGGTATCTTCATAGACTTTACGTTGTTCTTCCGAACATCAATCAATCGTCTCTCAAGAGCTTTTCATTTTTACAAGCAATGAGATTTGTTGTAACTAAGGAATTTGAAGGCCGTTGTAAGAAAGGAGGAATTTGCAGTTCGTGGGAGGGCCGTTGTAAGAAAGGAAATTAAAGTCGTGTGTGTAGGTTATTTTTTTTTTTTGGATAAGTGATCGTGTGTAGGTTATAACAATTTAGGTACTTAAGTCTATTAATTATTCATTGTATGCATTTACGAAATCATCAAGTGTAAATAATAAATTATCACCAGTAACAAGTTTCAATAATAAGTTAAAACGATGGTTAAGTCTCGTGGTAGGCATTTTGATCACTAGGTTTAAATAATGAATTGTGACCAAGAACAAATTTCAATAGTAAATTAAAACAACATAGAAGTATAACTTGTAGTTATACTTTAATATACTACAATTTAAAAGGTTAACATGCATTACTAAATAATGAACTGTAAAAGGAAAATAAAATTGCAACGTTGCAAGGTTAAAACGCCATATCTAAATTAAAATATATTTTTTTCAACCCTCTATGATACCAATTTTATAATCAAAGTCTAAGGTTCGTGTGTTTGATACACAAATTGCAGTTTACATGTATAACATATTTGTGGATTCATTGTATATCAAAACCCACGACTATCGATAAATATGTCGCACATGGTAAGTTTTACGAATTTAGCAATTTTGGTAGATCTATGTATGAAGTCCACATGTCCATCAATAAAAACCATACATAAAAAATACAATAAAATGTTAATTAAAATGTTAATTAAAATGAATATTGATGGGCTAAGTTTAAGATATCTAAATCAAAAGGCACAAACCGGCCATCGACTGAATAATTAATAAATAAAGGTTAATCTACTATACCGTATCGTATCGAAATATTTTGGTAGGGCAACGGTGCTCAATATTATTAAAATTTAAAATATTATCCTACCGTATTAATTAAGAATGATAAATAAAATTTTATTGTAATAATTACTTTATTTTATATAAAAATTGAAATAGTATGCTACCTAACTACTATTCGTTTCTTAAAAAAAAAACTAGTTAAAATTTAGAGGCCTTAGGATATAGGTCCCTGGTGAGAAAACTTATTTGAACTAAATGACAAGTCTAACTAACATCTGCTTCACATCATTTATAAAATCCATTCCAAAAAATGTCCCTCCACTAAAAAATTCAAATTATTCATTAAGTAAATTCCAAAGTGCATTTATCATTGTATTTATTATGCATTTAATATTTTCATATTTCCATCTAATATTTTCTTTATTTATAATATCCGTTTGTTTTCCTTTTTTTTCTTTATTCATTTTAGCATTTATACACTGTTATAAAAATTTATTTTTTTTCCCTTTTTTTCTACATAATATCGAGAATTACCAGGAAAAAAAAGATTAAATTTGGGCTTGTCAAATTAATTTTTTCTACATATTATTTTTTTTTTCCTTTTTTTTTCCTTTTTTTCTTCATTTTAGCATTTTATACACTAATATTTAATATTTTCATATTTCCATCTAATATTTTTTTTTTCCTTTTTTAACTAAGGATATAATTAAAAGATTAAATTTGGGCTTGTCATTTAATTCAAATTAGGTTTCCTTTGAGGGACTCATGGCATATTACCCCTAAAATTTAGTATACTCTTTATTTATGTCAAAAATATTTTCAATTGCTTTCATTAATAATGATTAATAATGATTAATTTACGTTACGTTAAGAGTTTATATGTTATAATTTTATTTAAGAAATATTTTATATTAGGTAAATTAAGAACTATTTAAAATACTTATATCTTAAATGTCTTAATTCCACTTTGCACCCTCGAAATAGAGTATTTTGGCACTTTGCACCCTTGAAAAACAATAATAGCACTTTGCACCCTCAAAACACAATAAATCATGGACAATGCACCATGAATTGAATAATAAAGAGAATTTCATTTTTTATTGGGTTTTTCTTTTGGGGTTCAAAATAACAAAATAAATTGTTATTTTTTTCAACCTCCAATCTAATTTCGAGCGCACGGTAAAACAAGAAATTATGATTGAAAGTTGCCCTCACGCAGAATCGAACTGCGGACCTTCAGTTTACAAGACTGACGCTCTACCACTGAGCTATAAGGGCATCAATGCTTACATTGAGAGTTGAACTCAAGACCTCCCGCTTACTAAACGGGTGCTCTAACCAAACCAACTGAGCTATGAAAGCTTTCGAGAATGAATTTGTATTTGTATTTGTTTCTCTACGAAGCATTGCAACCTTCTATGGATAGATTCTACCGCCTGTAAATAAAGGCAGAATATGGCCAATTCGGTACCTAATTTAATTGGTAATTACGAGATAGTTCTTCTCATTCTTCTTTTCCTTTGTCAAAGTTTCGTTCGTTGTTCAACTTCGCCGTGGGTCGAATATTAGTGCAATTATTTGATAATTGCTTGTTATACCTTAGGAGATTACCGAGAAGAAATTGTTGCACCATCGGCAGCCCGGAAATGTTGTCTTACGAGAACTGTTTCGGCAAACCTCAATCAATTCTACATTTTTCACAAATTCCATTTTTCGTTTTCTTTTTTAAAACAAGTGAGTACAAGCACTGGCGGAACTTGATAGGGGCATGGGGGGGCCGTTGACCCCCCAAGAAAAAAAAAAATTACATATTTGGTATTAAATTTTTTGAATATTATTTTTGGCCCCTCCAAAGTTTTTGTAAATATTTATCTTGACCCATTAATTTTTTTGTCTTTTCTCCAAAATCTTATATAAATTATAGATAAATATATCATATTTAATATAAAATAAGATGGTTAAAACTTATATTATTTTAAATAAAATTTATGAATATTACTTATTTTTGAATTTTTTTTATCTAACACCCTAAAAAAAAGATGAGATCGTGCCATGAATCTCCAAAATATTAAGTGTAGGAAAACCTAGACCTGGCATTCGAACCCAAGTCAAGCAAAAATCTTTCAAAACACAAGGAAATCATATCCAATTGATTATTCAAAATATAATTTCCATAACATCTCAACCATAATCACAGCCCCCGCCCGCACAGCCCCCACCACGCCTCCACCCGTCGCCGCGCCTCCACCACACTCCATCGATCCACCGCCCCTGCTCTTGCTCCCTCCATCGCCGACGGCAACGGTTTCCTTCATGCAACTACTGAAGAAAAAGAGAAAGATAGAGAGATGAGAGAAAAAACGAGAGAGAAAGGGAGATAGAGAGAAAACATGAGAGATAGAGAGAACGTGTGAACGTGTGAGAGAGAAAGATTGAGTGAGAGAACGTGTGAGAGAGAAAAAAAAAAATCTAAATTGAACATGAATGTATAGGTTTATAGGATTTAGGTTATAAAGGTAAGATGGGGATTAAAAAAATTAGGGATGTGGCTATATATTATTTCAAACTAAGGATATAATTAAAAGATTAAATTTGGGCTTATCATTTAATTCAAATTAGGTTTCCTTTGAGGGACTCATGGCATATTACCCCTAAAATTTATTATACTCTTTATTTATGTCAAAAATATTTTCAATTACTTTCATTAATAATGATATAATTTACGTTACGTTAAGAGTTTTTATGTTATAATTTTATTTAAGAAATATTTTATATTAGGTAAATTAAGAACTTATATTTAAAATACTTATATCTTAAATGTCTTAATCCCACTTTGCACCATCGAAATAGAGTATTTTGGCACTTTGCACCCTCGAAATAGAGTATTTTGGCACGTTGCACCCTTGAAAAACAATAATAGCACTTTGCACCCTCAAAACACAATAAATTATGGACAATGCACCATCAATTGAATAATAAGGAGAATTTCATTTTTTATTGGTTTTTCTTTTGGGGTTCAAAATAACAAAATAATATATTATTTTTTCAACCTCCAACCTAATTTCGAGAGCACAAAGTGTGAAAAAAAATAATTACACCGAATTGTTAAAATACTGATTGGTTAAGTAAATCCGATAAACTTTAACTAGTGAAGGTTCAAGATGAGATATTTCACCTATCCCGATGTTTTATTATTCACTAGAGGAAATTTGACTAATATATAGATCTTATGCGATAAGATTGGAAGAACAATTTTATTCATATGGGGATTGTCGTTTGGGGGCATTTAGTACTTAGTCAAATTATTTGAGCCAAAACTCAAATAATAAAATGTTTTTCCCAAACCAAATAAATTATTAACTAGCCTATGTTTCGCATGGTAAAACAAGAAATTA